CCCTAAGGGCATCTACATGGAAAGTAAAAGTATAAACTGGTAAAACTCCTAAAAATAAACTTAAAAAGAAGCGAAAAGGACATAAACAGCCAAAAACCACTCCTGAATCATAAAAAATAAGCCTAGAACAAATGAAAAGACATACTAAGTTCTTAGAGAGGAACCCATTCTAAAGATGTCATTACACTAATTTATTAAAATTAAAAACAACCTCAATAAAAACAGCCACAGATTTTTTTTCTGCAACTGAAAAAAAAAAATTCTTAAGTTCATATGGAAAAAGTAGATTAGCCAGGAAACCTCTAAAAAAGGAGAGCGAAGAGGAGGAACATGACTCATGAAATATTAAAACATACTTTAAGCCTGGCATAAGAGTAGGCAGAAGACCAATGGAAGAGAATAACGTGTCCAGAATTAGACCTGAAAACAGATAGGACTTGCGTATATATGAGAAAAGTGACAGTTCAAATTGGTGGAAAAACTGGATAGACGTGTAGAAAAAAAGGTGGTTCCATACTTCACACCATGCACTAGGAAAAATTCCAAATATATCAACGATTTAAATGTAAAAAATTAAACAATAAAAGTGCTGAAAGAAAATATAAGAAAATAAGGATTATTTTTGTAAGCTAAAAGATTTTCCTAACTATTAAGATAAAAATATAAACATCAAAATCTTGGGCATAGCAAAATATAGCATAAACTAAATCAAAAGCCAAATGATGAACACTGGGGGATATATCTACAATTCCTATTACAAAGGATTAATCACCTTAATATAGAAAGAGCTTCTCAAATCCATAAGAAAAAGACTGCTGACCCAATAGAAAAATGGGTAAAAGAGAACAGAGAATTCATAGAAAAGAGAATACAAGTGGTTCAAATACATGAAAAGATGTTCAACCTTACTGATAATAATAAAATCAAAACTACACTAAATTATCACTTTTTAGCCTATTAGTTTAGTAAAATTTCTAAATTTGAGAATATAGACTATTGGCAAAATCATGGGGAAACAAACACATGTAGATGGGTAGGAATATAACTTAGTATAAATTTTTTAGAAGACAATTTGGCAGTGTCTATTAAATTCAAATGCATATTCCATTAACACGGCAATTTCACAGCTGGGAACGTAACCTACTGATGTACTCTTAAAACCTGTTAAATAACACAAGGCCTAAGTTATTCCTTGCAGCATTGTTAGTAATAGTAAAGGACTAGAAGCAGTCGATGACCAGAAGTAAGAGACTGGTAGAATAAATTATGGCACAACCATATAATGGAATACTACACAGCTATAAAAAAGAACCAAGTTCTTTATGAACGAATATAGATAGATCTCCAACACGTCTTAGTAGTGAAAAAAGATACAGAACAGTTGTGTATAGCATGTTACTGGCACTTATAAAGCAAAGAAGACTAAAGATTATGTATTTGTTTTGGCTTTTATGTGCATTTAAAATTTTTTTCTAGAAAGATAAATAAGAAACAGACAACAGCGATCACCTACAGGGAGAGATAGTAATTGAGTGAACTGGGACTGAGAGGGAGAAAGATTTATGATAACGCTTTTTGATTTTGTGAACATAATACCAATACAAAGAAAATGAAATAATTAAAATAAATTAGAAATTGCTTGTAATGAAAACAAAGGGAGCAAGCTGAATGACATTAAGGGTCATTCTTCAGGTAAGGCGGCTTGGGCACTTTTCCACACCGCAGAGATGGCCTTCTGGGTCGATGGCGGCCATGACGCTCTCACTCTTGGATAGTGCTAAAATGAACACCGCTGTTATTTATGTCCTGAGGTTTCCTTTTTGCTTCCCTTGCTGATCAACTTCTCTCTTAATTTTTTTTTAAATACTGTGTAAAAAAAGTTAGCGTAACAAGCCTGACTGCTATCCTTTGAAAGGCCTGCTTACAAGGGTGGCCCTTGGCTGGCTTCTGGGAACTTAGATTTGGGCGAGTCCCCACCATTAGCAGAACCGATAAGAGTGGCTCGCTTTCCTCAGACCGTGCACACGAGATGGTTTATGCTGAACGCCTGCTTTCCTCCTGGGGGAATGGCATTTTGATATGTGCCAGGCACAGGGTGCCTACATGATCAGTCCCCAGGAAACACGCTAGGCACCGAGTCCCCGGTGAGCTTCCCTGGTGGACATGTCACTGGGGTTGTCTCCTTGTTGCTGGGGGGTTAAGTACGTCCTGTGTGACTTCCCCCAGAGAGGACTCTTGGAAGTTTGCGCTTGCTTTTCCCTGGATTTCATCCCGTGTGCCTTTTTCCTTTGCTGATTTTGTTCTGTGTCCTTTTCCTGTAAGCGATCTTAGAGGTGAGTATGACTCTATGCTTAGATCTGTGAGTCCTCCTAGTGAACCCCTGAACCTGAGGGGGATCTTGAGGACCCCCAACTCCCTTCTATTAGATTATATTTAAATTTTACATCTAGGAAATAGTTTCTTTAAGGATGCTTCATGTCACTGTTTTAACTCATTTAGTGATTAATTTTATAGTTTAACTACCATAGATTAATCCTATTTTCTTTATTTGCAAGTTTTGGGGATTGTCTTATAATTGCCCCCATATGTAGATTATATGAATTCGGTGTTATTATATGTAAGAAAAATTATGGCAATTGTATGTAAATGGAATATATATTGAAGAAATTTTAACTTGTTATTGCTCATACTTGATTGCTATTGATTTTTGTATAGTCATCCCATATCTACTTCATTGAATTTGTATTCATATTAATAGTCTTTCCGCAATTCCTTTGGATTTTCTAAATGTGAAATCATATCTATAATTAATGACTTTTCTTTCTTTCCAGTATTTATACCTTTTACTAGTCTGAATAGCATTTTTTATTATTTCGGGAACATTACAAAATTCTGGTCAGGACTAAAAGAACATTAATCACAATGATAATGAAGGCATTCTCTTTTTCTTGCTCATTTTAATTAAGAATATTTTAAAATGTTTCTCACTCTAAGTACAGAGTTGGCTATTTAATATAGAAGCTCTTCATCATATGCTAATTTTTTTTCCTCATTAAGAACAGGTACTAAATGTTATTAGATTCTACAAAATGACTATTGAGAAACGCATGTGATTTTTCTTATTTATCCTATTGACATAGTATACAATACTAATTTATTTTCATATACTTAACCTTCATGCATAATTCAGAAAAACTCTTTTGGTATATTATTCTATTAACAGGTCTATTTACCAGTATTTTATTAAATGTTTTCTAATCCATAATGATAAACTAATCTGAGGTGGAGTTTTCTTTATGCTCTTTTTATCTTGAAATAGTGTTATCATAATAATTCTTATCACTTACTGAGTGCTAACTACTTTCCAAGGACTATCCCAGGCTGCTTAGATCCTACCTGCCCTGTAATCTTAACAATCTTGTAAAATCAGTGTTGCCAACCTATCTTACAGAGAAGGAAAGAGGCTTAGAAAAGGCCAAGCACATTTTCAAGGTCATATGAGTCTTGTGGCCAAATTGCTATAGGATGGCTTGGACAGTCCAATCTTTTTCATTGCTCTGGAATTGTGTATTTGATCCTAAAAGTTTAAAAATATTTTTGGTGAACTCAAAAGGACTAGAACCTTTCCTGTGGGAAAGAGGAGATTAACCATGATCACGTTCCTCTATTTCATATCCTGTCACTGGGCTTTTCAGACTTCCTCTTATGGCCATTAGATTTTCTCTTCCAGGAATTATCTGAGACTTTAAACAGTCTTACAACTTTAAAACAGTACACATGTCTTTTTTAAAGATCTTTTTTCTTCAACAAATACTCATCAAACCTATGGACTAGACACTGTTCTAGGTGCTAGGAATACAGCAGTAAACAGAATAGATTAAAAACAAAAAACAAAAAACCCTGTCTTCCTGGAGCTGACATTTAGATGAGGGTGGAGGTGGCAGATAGAGACCCACAGTAAAAAAAATAAAGACGTTAAAAGAAGTAACAGGTGCTACACACTGGAAAACAGCACAGAGTACTGTTAACCGCACAGGCTTTACAGATTGTGTTTAAATCCCAATTCAGTATATGTGACCTTGGGCAAATTACTTATCTTTTCTGTGCGTTGGTCTTATTAGTGAAATGGGAATAAAGGTGACACATTGCGTTGTGTGACGATTAAATGTGTTAATATTTGTAAAGTGCTTAGAGCAGCACATAGCACGATATAGAAGCTAACTGTTACGGTTAAGAAAAATGAAGAAAGGTGGATAAAGAGTGCTAGGAAGACGACATATAATTTTCAAGAGGGCAATTATGGAAGACCCTATGAAGAGGCTTCAGGTGATGAAACACAAGAATAATGCGGGTGTCTTTGGAAGAAGATTCAAGGCAGGAGGACCAGAACACAAAGATCCTAGTAGAAAACCACCAGGTTCATCTGAGGAACAGCAAGGTCGGTGTGACTGAA